TCATCACAATGGTCCTTTCTGACCTTAAAATCTGTGGATCTATAAATGGTTACTATGGTCCATATCTGTTTTGTTTCCCTGAGCCACTCTAGTGATTCTGTAGTATTAATCTATTATAAAATCAAATGTTATGGGCCATTGAAATACCAAAATCAAGTATGTACAGTATATATTCTGGAGAGACAATATAAGAAGTGAGGTTGTGGAATTCAAAGTCTGCTTTTCTTGATTAATCCCCTTCCTCTGTAGCTCATCTTTGATGCGCATTAACATGAATTTGGATTATGAAATGATTCACCTTTAAATTCTTTACTGATACTGAAATATAAAATAGCACTGAGCTCACCAGCTAATAAGTAGAGCAAATAACAGTCCTATTTCTCAGTCTAATCACCAGGGTGAAGGACTAAGAAAAGTAAATGGTATCTTGACACAAATCACAAGAGACAGAAATGCAGAAAACTGCTACATGAAATTCGGTACTTTGGTATAAATTAAATACATTAATGCCAAAGCACTCCTATTAATTCAACATTAAAGTTGTGGTTTTAAACACACGAGAGTCAGAGAACTGAGTAATGGAGCTATGTCAATATACACCAGCTGTGGGTGGCTTAGGCATGAAATTCTCACCAAGGTTTTAACTCTGCATCCATGCATAGATATATTTTAATAGCATCTTTCATGACTTGATCATAGCCACTGATTAGTGAGGTAAAAAGAAAACTGGGTTCTCTGAGAAGGAGAAAGCACGTGGTTTCCATGTCTGGTCAACCTTTTCTAAGGGCAGGGCACTCTGCCTGTGGCCTTCTAGAACTTGCGCGAAGTAAAAATGTTGCTGGACGGAGCCCAGGGTGAGCCTTGCATTGTCGTGCACCCCCAAAGTTTTCATTGTTTGATTTCCATATAAACCACTTGCAGCTTTTTATAACTTTTTAAAGGAAATACTATAATGATACCTATTTGTACACTACCCTGTTTGTACCCTGTTTGAAATGGTAATAAAAGACCTTAGTTGACATATTTTTATAGCACAATGACACTGTATACGATTAGTTGATTCAACTGCTTTTTTGGGTGGGGTGGGTTTCAAACTGCCTGTTCTCCCCTTGGGGTGTCTGGACCCTGACTGTCACTTAGCCATGACACCTTGTGCTTTGATACTATCAGATTTCATAAGTCAAATAAGTGGGTCCAGTTCAAGATTTGGATGGGAGATCTGTGTTAAATTGTACAGATGGTTCAGCAGAAGACATTCTTCCCTCCAGGTCTGTACAAAACAGCCTCAGCATAATAGCAGGAGGGGACACGGCACTATCAGAGATGCTCTCTTTCTGGTGAAATGTAAAACCGAGGTCCTGAACACACGTGGTTTATGAGTAGCCAATTGCATCTTTCTAAGAATAGTGTCTGTCATTTTAGGATTATGGTGTAACCCTAACAGAAACAAACTTTTGAATTTTAGGCAATTTTGTAACAAAATTGTGCTTTTGTGGTGCAACAAAATCCAACCTTTGTGTGTCAAGGGGATTCAATAGTATTATATTTCATTGTAATGTATTTATTTCTTCTTATCTTTGGGTTAAGATTTATGAATGTGTTGCACGTGGTAAATAGCAGGTGGTCACACAGTGCTGTATAATCACTACTGTGGTATTTGCTGTATCCTTGACACAATATTCAGGCAGCCAAAAATATCATTCTTCTTAAAAAATCTGAAGATAAATCAGTTTGGGATATTCTTTTTTCCTTCCATGAGCTAAAACTTCTGGAAGAAAGACATAAAACATCCTGACATGCTGGGTCCCTGTTCTGCCAGTGCCTTTCAATTACTGGGCAAAAATGAAATAAATTCTGAAAAATAAATGTGTACATGTTTAAGTGAATTAAGTTGGGATTCTGTTGCCTTTCAATTCAGTGTCACTTGGTCTGGTTTCATTGCCCCAGTCACAATAAACTGAAACTGATGATGGTGGTATCAGGAAATCCAAGAGATATTGCATGGCTGAGAGTTGCTTATGAGAGGAAGGGAAGACTTTTACAGTTACACAAGGGGACAGATTTTGCTGTTCTTTACAAAGGATCTTCCCTGTGTGGTGAAGTCTTATGGTCCATATCAGCCTTGGAAGTTTGAACTAGCTAATCTAGTGGTGGAGGATAGACAGTGGAGCACAGAGGGTTTTGTGACTTGACTGGAACTTAGGAGATGTCTGTTTAAGTGCAAATTCTGCTACAGACTTACTGCATGTCCTTGGGCAAGTCACTAACTCTTACCAGGCCTCAGTTCCCCATACATAAAATGGTGATGATAATACTTCCTTTCTTCAATATTTTCTCATGTAGATGGTAATCTCTTTGGGGCCGAGACTATTTCTCACTACATGTATGTACAGTGTCTAGCACAGTACAGCCCTATTCTCATCTGGGGCCTCTCACTGCTGTTGTAACACAACTAATAGTAAAATGCCCATTCTGCCCAAGGACTATCAAACATCCCAAGGTTTGGGGTAAATAGAGTCAGCTAACCTGGTTCAGCCTGATTTTACCTTGAGCTTTAATTAAAACAGTTGTGTTGACCTATTCTGTCTCCAAGAGTATATCATCATTTTATATAACCCAGGGAAAATCTTGTTTAGATAATAATGGAAAAACTGGAACAGCTGCAAAAAGTGCCGGTCACTGTAATGTGGATCTCTGTTACCATTTTTGGATAAAATATTATCCATTCAATGCTAAACTAAATTAAATAAATACAGGGGGATCTATGTCATAAAGCTCTGAAGGACATTTTTTAAAAAGGAAAATAACAAACAAGGTTTCTTAGTAATACCATGAAAGTCAAGTAGCATATTATCTTGCCCAGAACAAATGGTAGTTGGCATGCAACAAAGCCATCTTATACATGAATCAAAAATATTGTTATAGTGTCCTAGGCTGCTGCAGTAAACATAGTGGCAGTAGATCTTGCAGGTTCTCAATGATTGCTTCTTGGACTTGAGGTTCTATCCTGAAGTAGAAACCACAAGTATAATCTCTTCTTATTAGCAACTTGAGGCCTGATTCCTGTCCCACTTACTCCACTCTGAATCAGGAATAACTCTATTGAACTCATCCCTCAGCATAAAAAACTTGAAAGGGACATCCATTCAGAGTATCTCCTGAGCAGAGACATTTTTGAAAGTGCCTTAAATTCTGTAGTTTTTGAATAGGCAGTGGTGTGAACAGAAATGTGTTCATGTAAAGACATGTTCCCAATATAATGTACATTTAAACAAACCTCATGGGTAGTGTGTCAGACACAGGTCAGACAGAGAAGCAAATGAAAATAGGCATTTTTGCTGTTGAAGCAGTAGGGGTCTCTGATGAGGTGTATGAACCCTAAATGTCAACCACCAAAAATAGGTTGATGACAGTGCTACATTTGTAATGAAAGAGGTGCCAGGATCAAGCAATTTTTTTTTTAACTTTCATAACTGATGAGGCAAGACCAGAGGTGCCAAGACTCCTGGCTCAGCCCTGGTACAAATTAAGCACTGGTTGATGGACAGAGTGTCTCCCTCCACTCCTGTGACTAATTGCCTGAGTAGTAACAGCTGGAGTGAAAGCCTTCCAACCAGGCAGAAGGAATCAGCTGACAGAGAGGCTGAGAAGTACCCTGAGGAAACTTCTCAGCAAGGGCTGGTAATGAACCACCTAAGGTACAGACCCAGCAACCCCCATGGAGGGTGAGGTGAGATTGCTGGGAACAGCAGCTAAGTGGATTTCTTCCCCTTCACCCTACAAGGTTAGGGGAAAGGGTTGGACTATGTAGTCAGACCCTTAGTTTAGGACAGGGAGCTAAAGAATAGCTAACACTGGCCAGAAAATAGGAGAACAAAGTCTTAAAGTGCCAGAGTACCCTTCCATTACCCCTGGATAGAGAGGAGGGGGCTTCATTCTGCAAACTTTTCCATGAGTAGTCTCACTGAAGTCATTTGGTGGATTTCTAGGGTTGAGCCCTAAAACAGCAGCAAAATAAAATACTTTAGCAGTGGAAACAAACATGTTGCTGTGCTAAGAACACTGATTTTCAGATTTCTAAATTGCTAGCATAATAATGGATAATAAAAAATAATAATGGAGAAGAAAAAATTTACTTGCCCTTTCAAATTGTCAGAACACTGTATCAACTTAACTAATCTTTATAACACCCCTGTGTGATAGGAAGGTATTTTTACCCCATTTTACAGATAACAAAACTGAGGCAGAGACTGGTTGAGTGACTAATTCAAGTCAACAAAGCTAGTTATTGAGAGCCTGATCTTAAAACTCAAGCCTTCCTAATTCCCAGTCCTGGATTTCATTCACGAAACCAAACTGGCTTTCCCCCCACCCACTGGCAAGGTGACTGAATCAACAGATTCCGTCCCACTCACCTTCCCTCACTCTAAAGTAAGATTTTACTAGTAAATTAATAACAATATTAACATGCCTGAAAAAATCAGTTGCAAATTTGGAAGCTGATCCTACAAACCCTTACTCATATGAACCAATATTACTTTTGTGAGTCAGGGTTTTCAAGATGGGACCCATACTAGAAATCTTTCTTGTTATTTGATTGATCTTGAATCAAATATAAATATTTATAGATGAACATATTGAGCAGTAAGTGTAGGACACATATTGATGTCTGCTGTCTAAATAATGAATTAATAGAAACAGAAGATGGGTAACACATTTGTCCCATTGGTGTCTTTTTGTACAGAATCTGCTTTCAAAAACATTGTACAATAAAGAATGACAGTGCTTTGGGACCTTTTATAGTTATTGCTATCCATTTGTTATTACCATCTTTATGCATCAGGGGAATAACTCTTTAAAAAATCAGTATAGAACATTCCACCCCCCCACCCCACCCTCCACAAGCTTTCAGTTTCCTACAGCTGTTGTTTTTTCTTTTTATGCAAAATGTTCACATCAGCCAGGCCAGTGCTGACAGGGTGCTCTGTTGGTTTCTGCAGGAGATGGAGAATGCATTGCCAGGATTCTCAGAATGTCAAGGGAAAACAGGAATGTCCGCTAATGACTACACCCAGAATGTGGCTTTCAGATGCCAGGAAACAGTTGTGAGACTTCAACCAAGGTAGGCTTTAACTGCAAGAAAGGCCAATGTGTGTGTATGCTGCCTGCTGTATAAAATATTCAAGTTCCTGACTTTCATTGGCAGTTGTATCCTTTATTCTGAGTCCTAGAGCTGTTCGCAGATAGTAAAGCGGTTGGAGATAACCTACTTTAACTTTAAATTTCCAAGCAAGATGAACATCTTTTCCCTCATCTTAATTCAGAACTTTCAATTCCCTTGGGCCAGTTTCAGAAACATCCTGACACTTTCCCCTCCTCCCTTGCCTTACTGATTCTCAGATCTATATTTCTACTGAGAAGTCAGGGAATGACAAGCGCAGGCATAGTTTTGATACTATGATTCACTTAGGGATAAATCAGGCCCTGAATTCAGTGGAATCAGTCTGGTTCCATCAGGAAGGGTTCCATGCAGTGCACCCACACCCCCTGTTCATCTCAGAGCTCCATGAGGATTCCCTGGGCCCTACACAAGAGGTGTTTTCAGAGCAGGTGACTACACAGATTCATGACCTAACTCACTCCCATTGAATGGGGCACAGCAGCCTGGGAGCTACTGTAGCCAAAGATCCATAGCAGCTATGAAGCAGCCTAGAGGAAGGATTCCTTTCTGTTTCTGCCTACATAACCTCCCCAGTGTCCAATGTGTTCATGTAGGTTATGTCACAAGGAGAAGATTTGGCCCTTATTGACAGGATTGAATTTAGTGTTGAAGATTACACTGTGCTGAACTTGCAGTTCTTGGATCACCACTTTAAACACCAGATCTCTTGCTTAGAGGATGGCTCAACAACACTAAGCTGGGTATAATGGTTCTCTTGGGTGAACGTAAGAGGGTCTGCCTTGTATATTTTCTTTGTTCCCTGTCTCAAGTGGCTCCCTGCCTTTTTAGTACTGTTAGTGCCTGAGTCAGGAGACGGTACCGACCCCAGTCACTCTGAAGTCCCTTGTGCAAACTGTTCATAAAAACAGTCTGAGCAGTGTCCCTACTGCACATTGCTGGAGAGTATTAGCCAATCTATGCAAGAAGCCAAGTGGCAAGAGGAGTCAGGAAAAGAATCACTTTTTAGAGGGCCTGTAGGAGCAGCTTTCTGCCCCAGAGTGCTGGATGGGTCAGGGGACAGCTAATGGAAATATATAGTGCTTTTCCCTTCTCAGGCACTGGTTCAAATTGGGACTAGGTTAGTAGTGACAATTCTACTCTGATGGCAGTTTGGTGCTTTATGCGAAATAAGCCGATTGCCTCCAGTTATGCTTTTAGTAGGCAACCATCCCAAATGACATTAATTCACACTCTTGGGTGCAGTCTTAACAGAGTGGCCGAGGATTTAATTGGCTTTCAAAGTGAACTGCTTTCAGCCTCTACTTCTGGTACCCCCAATATAAGTTGATGCACAGTAATGTGGACTAGATCTATTGAGGCTTACGCTGGTCTAATACCTGAGGGAGGGCACTAATAAATTCTTCAAGGGACAGTGGTGCAAAAATGCTACAACCTGTCTTATGTCAGGGTGGCCATAGAGGGCTAGCACAGGCTAAAAAGTGAGTGCTGCTGGTGAGTGGGGGTATGTGATCCTGACAGAATCAGGGAGGGTGCTGATGCCAGCAGTACACCTTGGCATAGGCCTGTATTTCAAAGCTGTTTAGGTGGCTAACTGCCATTGATTTCAGTGGGTATTAGACAGCTAAATACATTTGAGGATCTGGGCCACAGTTCCCCTGGCAGGAAGCTGCTGCTTGCCTTGACTGTGCTAGATGGAGGAAGTAGTAACACCACCTATTCCCCACTGAGGTGAGTTCTTGGGACAGCTATCAGTAGAAGGTGTAATTCATAGCTCCCTGCACTATGTTAAGTGAATCTGTCCTCTGGTATCTAACATGTATCAGTTTTGCGAACTCATGTTCAATCTCCCAATTTGAACCACTGTCTTAAGAGTTGAAAACCACTATGCATTTTCATTAGCTGTGCCCTGACCCATGTCCTTGGTAGCTAAACAATGCTTAGGAAGTTTTTTCTGACACAGAAGCTTAAATGAACATACCACAAGGCAATAAGGCTAAGAAAATGACTTGTTATGGTCATTCGTCTTGTTAAAGTTTACTTAAAATACTGAGCACAATGGCATCTCTCATTTCAGAATTCAGATACCTATAGCACAGCATTTCTCAAACTGGGGTGAGCGTCCCCAAGGGGACTCCAGGGGGTCTGTGGGACCCACTGAGAAACTCTTCCCCCTTCTTCAACTCCTTCCTTTCCCACCCAGGCGCGCCTCCAGCACGCTCGAGAATAGGCTTACCTGTCCTGGCTCCCGTTGCTCCCAGAAGTGGCAGGCACGTCCCTGCGGCCTCGGCTGGGGCAGGGGTGCAGGAGGGGAGGGGGATGTGGCACTTACCTCAGGGCACTCCCGAAAGCAAATGGCATATTCCTCTGGCTATGGCTCCTAGGTGGGGGTGGGCAGGGGGTCTCTGCACGCTGCCTTCGCCTCGAGCGCTGACTCTGCAGCTCCCATTGGTCAGGAACTGCCAATTACAGTAGAACCCCTATTTTAATTAATTAACGAATGGTAAGAAATATATACAGTGTGCCTATTACAATCTTGCTAATGGATTGTACTACATCAAACAGTACTGTACATACATACTGTGCTGTTAGTGTCCCTGTAGTCATTGGTGAAATAAATTACTGAAGGTCAGTACACCCACACTCTGTGTGTGGCACCTCTGTTCACTGCTTAAGCACATATACCTGTACCTGGTTGATCAAGAGATAAAAATGGTTCATCGAACCAGTCGTTCATGAAATGAGGGTTCTCTGTTTAAGTTCCTGTTTTCAATCGTTTATAACTTTGAAAAACTTGAAGCATCTGGGCTGAAATATTCCATGGTGAATGGTTGTCTCAGGCCAAAAAAAAAGGTTGTGGGTTTTTGTTTGTTTGTTTTAACTTTGAGCAAAATCGGTTCAGCTATTTCTGAGAATGAGGCTAAAGGAAAATATATTGTATTTGCCAATGTTAAAAAATTCTTACAGCTCTTTTGTCGAGAAGCGCTACAGTATTGCCAGCTCTTGCAGTTTACTGCAAGTCTTGTGATATTAGGTGATTTTTCTTAATGTCTCAGATCCTGGAGTCAAGTGATTATGTCAGGGATTGTCTTTTATTCTGTGTCTGTGCAGAGCCTCGCACAGTTTGGTCAAGGTGCATGACTAGGGCTCCAAGGCACTATGTTAGTACAAATAAATAAGAATAACAAGAAAAAGTAGTTGTAGTATTTTTAAATCTCATATTTTTAAAACCAGTCTCATGATTTTTGGGACCTGACACATTTTTTTTGGATACTCAGGTTTGGCAATACTAGCTGTAGCATGTCCATGCTTTGGAGCAGGGTTTTGAGATTTGGCAGGTGGGTCACCCTGGAGTCAGAGAGTTGCCTTTTGTTGTCCCTATGAAAATCCATCCAACTTTGCTGAATTATAAATCTCTGAAAACCACTGTTTGTACATGTACAATAAAGATTTGTTAGAGGCGGGTAACAAAATTCTCTGAACATGCTGTTTCCACTGAGCATGCTCCATCCTTTCAGAGTTCACAGAGTATAATCTAGCCAAGGGCTGAGTAGGACTTTTCCCGTAATTGCTCATTCTGGTAGCCAGGTCCGCTGTGGTACTGGGCACCAGAACTAGGAGTAGGGATACTCTCTCTCCTGTGCTCTCAGTGCTCCCTATGCTGGCACCCAGGCAGTTTGGAGGAGGAAGCTGCCTGACTGAAATGCAACAGGGTGAGGAGAGGGGTGGGGTTAGGGGGAGAAGGACAAGTATGGGGAAGAAGCAGAAGGGGAATGGGACAGGAGCAGAGAGGGATATGGCCCTGCCGGAGGAAATAGGAGTGTGGCATTTGCATTATGATATGGTCTTTGATTGCATTGTCACATACTATTTTTCCCAGGTCAATGGGATTGGGCAAACCTCATTTTTAATGGAATTCAGTTCAGCTACCCCTCATAAAGCCCTCCCCTTCAACTCTTTCTACCTGATCCATATTAAACCTCACTCACTCTTTGAAACTACTGTTCCCCAACAACCCTCTTAACTGTGTTGATCCTATTGCAAGTTTTCATAAGGTCTTCAGTCTCTGTTGTGCTTTAGATGGCTTCTCATTTCCAGTTGCATATGCTCTGGGACTTCTTTGGTTAAAGCATGTATGAATGCATTTTCCACAAATGATCAGATAAATTAATCCAGATAGTACAATAAGGCTTTAAGGACTCTGCTTTCCTGGTACTTTCCCTATCGCTAATTGCTTCTTCAGTATCTTGCTCAGTGGAACAACTTCCTCCTCCTTCTTCCTGTTACTTTCAAGGTCTTCTTCTGAGGTCTGTCACTGGCATTCTCCACTTCTTCCTCCAGACGCTGTCCTTTGACATCCATACCTGTTTGTAAACTTTAACCAATATCCTTACATTGACAACTCCTAGATCTGCCTCTCCAGTGGTGACCACTCTCCCTCTTTTATGACTCAGATCACTGTTATCTCCTCTCCAGAGCTTAATTACTTGCTATGTCTATGCATTTGTTTCCTTTCCTTCTCCTCATCCTCTACTCTTAGCCCAAGCTTCTCATCTCTATATTCCTTTTCTGTCCTTCTCTTACCTGCTTTTGTTCCTTCTTTCATGCAGTTTCCTATGCCTGGTAATCCCCTTTCTTCATCTGTCTATAGGGTTGCCAATTTTCTACTTGCACAAAATGGAACATCCTTGCCCCGCCCCTGCCCTGCCCCTCCTCTCCTCCAAGCCCCCCTTCTGAGGCCCCGCCCCTTTCACTTCATCCCCCCCACCCTCTGTTGCTCACTCTCCTCACCCTCATTCACTCGATCATTTTCACCGGGCAGAGACAGGGGTTGGGGTGCAGGAGAGGGTGAGGGCACTGGCTGGGGGTGCGGGCTCTGTGGTGGGGCTGGGGATGAGGGGTTTGAGGTGCAGGCAGAGTGTTCTGGGCTGGGCTCAAGGGGT